ATCCTTATCCTTATCTTTGTCCTTGTCCTTATCTTTGTCCTTATCCTTATCCTTGTCCTTCTCCTTGTCTTTGTCCTTATCCTTGTCACCGTCTTTCTTCTTCTCTTTTGACATCTGCAACCGTTTGTTCGTCCAAGCAGCTGCTACCGGTAGTTGGAAGTCTTTAGAGCAGACCTTGCGTTTTCTTGAAGCCGCTCAGGGAATGTGAGAACTGTGAAGTGAGAATGAACTCACTTAGAAACTCTTTTATACGTAACATGATCATTATCACTGGTGATGATTGTGTCGTGATAAGTTTGCATCCTTTGCATTTCTGCCTATCATGCCTTACATCTCCAATATGCACTTACAGAAATATGTTTCTTAGAAGTTCTCTGCCTGCTCGTAGATTAGGTGTGTACGGCAGAATTTCCAGTTTTTTACCTTTTCGGGGCCTCCTCGCCATGAGGAACCCATATCTTGGCTTTTCAGCGCATGAAAATGATGAATGAGTTTTTCACGAAGCTTTCCAGGTCCGCATTCAGTGGAAGGTATACGTAAGTGGGCGGGGTCCGAAACAAGGGAGGCGGAGCGGGGAAGTCTTCCAGCGTTTCTTCATTGAATGCGGACCTGGAAGGCTTGAAAAAGGCTTATTTTTTGCCACTCTCATGCGAAAAGGCCAGATATGGGTTCCTTATGGCGAGAAAACCGCGAAAAGGTAAAATCTGGAGAACGAAGTGCTCCCGGGCACACTGTCTTCAACTAACCTATAATAGTTGAAGCTGCAACGCAAAATTCTGATTTTTCATTTTCAATTTAACAAAAAATTTCAGGCTGTGAACTCCGATCTGATAATTTCGTGCATAACATCCAGCGATGATGAACTGGCACATGCTGCTTTGTTTCGGTGGATGCTGGAGCGAGGCAAAGCGAACCATATCCTGCAGGTAAGCGTTTGGGTCTTTTCCAGCTCTTCTAGCGTATCTCAAAATTTTACAAAAAGATGTTGGTTCGTCCTGCAGCACACAATGTTACCTACCGACCCTTTCGTTTGGGTCACTAATAGGACAAATTGTTCATGTAACTCTTCAATCTTCGTGGGACTATCCGAAATTGTTCCGCTCACAATCTGGAAATCCTGTGTCATCAATGAATATTTCAGAGCAAATCCCCATATGTCGAGCAGTTTCTTACCCATGAAATCAGTTGCGGACGAGGCCAAAGATATCTGGATCTGCTTTGGCGGTTCTATGAAAAAGCTGGTCACTACGACAAGGCTGCTACCCTGCTGAGTCGGCTTGCTGACAATGAAAAGTCAGTCGCTATGGTTTCAATATTTTCTTCATGTCTGAATTCATCTCCTTTTAGCGAAGAAATATCACTTTCCCAACGATTTGCATACCTATCTCATGCGATCATTTGCGCTCAAGCTGGCAGTGATCCAAAAACGAAAGCCATGATCCAAGAATTACGGGATAAGGTCGAAGTCGCACATATACAGATGGCTATAAAGTTTG